GCTGTTGGCAAGCTTCTCTGAAGCTGCAGAGGATAACAACTGACCAAGACCTACTCTGGTTCTTCTTGATATAACTTGATATGTCCCTTCCATGACTCAATGCATAGAAATTGTGATAAAAGGATAAAATGTATCTATCCATTGTCAATACCCGCCTATCCACGCAGGGTCGTGGGGGGCTGGTGCCTATCTCCATTAATCTCTCCATTGCATCCATCGCAGAGCAACACAGGACTAACAACCATGTGTGCACGCACACATACACACCTATGGACAATTTAGACAGCCCAATAAACCTGGCAGTCATGTTTTTGGACTGTGGGAGGAAGCCAAAGCCGAACCCATGCATGAACAGGGAGACATGCAAACTCCGTGCAGAAATACCCCAGGCCGGGATTCAAACCCAGGACCTTATTGCTGCAAGGCAACAGTGCTAACCACTGCACTTCTGTGCAGCTCATATGAAATACAATTCATGAAAATGTAATGGGTTTAAAATGCTTTCTGAGTGTTCAATAATAAAACTAACCACTTGATTTTAAGGCAAAGAAGAGCCAGTAAGGGTAGAAAGCCTTCTCCAGGCCAGGAACGAGGTCCTTCCCCAAATGGAGGAGTTTATAGTGTCTCAGTGTCCTGTTCATGAATGAAGGAAAGCAGATTGGTGCTGTGGCTGCAGTGATGCAGGCGTTATACCAGTCTGTCATGGTGAACAAAGAGCTGAGTCGGAAGGTGAAGGTGAAGCTCTCAATTTACCTGTCGGTCCAACCCCCATCCATGGTCACAAGGTTTTGGTAGAGACCAAAAGAATGAGTTGCGGATACAAGCGGCCAAAATTAGTTTTCTCTGCAGGGTGGCTGGGCTCTCCCTTAGAGATAGGGTGAGAAGCTCAGTCATCCGGAAGGGGCTCGAAGTAGATCTGCTGCTCCTCCACATGAAGAGGAGCCAGTTGAAGTGGCTCGGGCATCTGGTTAGGATGCCTCCTCCTCCCTTGTGAGGTGTTCTGGGCACGTCCAACTAGGAGAAGACCTAAAGGGAGACCCAGGATACGCTGGTGAGACTTGGTCTCCCGGCTGACCAGGGAACACCTTGTGATTCTCCCAGAGGAGCTGGCCTATGTGGCTGGGGAGAGGGAAGTCTGGGCCTCTCTGCTTGCCCACGTGAGCTGAACCTGGATAAGCGGAGGAAAACAGATGGGTGGATGGAACCGCCTGATTTTAAGATGCAACTAACCTGAAGAGCATCACAAAACTAAAACCCACAATGCAAAGCTGGAGTCATGTCTTGATCAGATTTAGACAAGAGGAGTTTATCTCACATGAAGGTCTTTTGATTCCTCCTGCAGAGAATTGTGTTCCATTATTCATTTGATGTCTTAATAGATCGCTGCTCACCCATTTTCGGGAATAAAAACATGAGATTGTTTCCCCTTTCACTCCATTTCCAAGCCAGTTAAAATCATCTGATGTAATTTAACAACCAATTAATTCAGCGTCTCAGTCAAAGCCTCTCACTGTCCGATGCCCCAGTGCCTTTTTTATTCTGCCCCGCTGCTCCGCCACCATATCCCCAAGAGCTGCCAAAACATTTCAATCACCGCTGGCATTAATTGGGCCAGCAAGGAATTCAAAATGTTAACGAACAGCTCAGCCGCCTTTCAGCTAGCATGGTTCACATGATAATTTATGCAGAACAACCCAGAGTTTTGCATGGCTCGACTGTCGTCGTGTACCCATGACGGCGAAGGCTCAGCTGCCTCCATTAAAGCCCGGTCCTGTCTAGACTTGGACTGCTACCCAGCTTGTGTCCCAGCCCAAAGCTGGCACTGTAAACAGACTTCTTTTCAATGGCCTTGAAGTGGCTTTCACACTGAGCTGAAAGGGTAACTTCCAGATGTCAACCTTTTGGTTTTTAAATAAAGCATCTCAAGGAAAAATACAAATTGGGCATGATTGGAGTGGGATGAAGCCGTCTCTTTGACCCACACTTAAATTTCTGTAAACTTAACCAAGATTTAAAGGAAAAGAAAGATATAAATCTTAAAGGCTGGGGCTGCAAGAAGGTGGGAGTTAATGCCACGTTGCCAAACACCTACTAAAAATGGCAGTGCTTTTTTTTTGTCTTTTTGAATGTAAAAGGTGTCAGGGCCTGGAGATGGAGTCAACTGAGCTGCTTTGTTTGCTTTTTTTGTAAATAAAAAAGAAAAAAAATTACAGTGTTGTTCAGAACAGATGGGGTGCTGCAAGTCGACTGAGGAGAGGAAAGAATCAAATTCAGTTTTTTAGTCAGTGTAATTTTATTTAGGGTGAAATGCAAAACACATTCCGATTAATTTTTCATTTTATATTTTGTTGGATTTTGTTCTCTACCAGACAAATAAATCTCTGTTAACTTACGAATGTGTTTAATTCATATTTTGTAGTTACTACTAGGTCATTTAAAATATGAATCACTGCTCTTATGTGTAGTACTTACATTTACATTTATTTTACACACACACACACACACACACACACACACACACACACACACACACACACACACACACACACACACACACACACACACACACACACACTTTATTGTTTAAACTTTGTATTTATGATTTATGTACTCATTCATTTGTGTGTTGTTTATTTACATTTTGAGTTAAGCTGTCATGCAGAGACTGCAGATGGAAATTAGTTGGTGGCTGAATCTAGTGTTTCATCTTGTGTGTAATATGCACATTTTCCTTATTTAAAAAATAAATGATAACTAAACTCAGCACATGTGTTTAGTATGCAACCAATGTGATGGCGTTGACATACAAAATCATCAGTATGTCTGTAAACATTCTTTATTCTAAAGCAAACTGCAAGCAGTCACATCCAGATATTCTCTAACCTAATAAATTTTGTTTTGATATATTTTATTTGATCAGTTTTTAATTTGTTAGCATGTGTGCATATGTTTCTGGAAATGATTTAACAGTCAACCAAACTCATGTTTAGTCACATCAACTTAGGAGATATGCTTAAATGTACAATGTAGTGATGCACCAATATGACATTTTTGGGCCGATACGATATCCAACATTAATATCACTGTTAGGGCCGATAACCGATATTTGCCGATAACCGATATACTGACATTGATGCTTCTAAAATCAGCAATTTTGTATAAAATGAAAATTATTAAAGCCAAATTGACATTATTATGTGCACACACCACACACATTTACTCTTCTCAGAGGATTACATTCATTGTTCACATGACTAAACAAATACACATCACCCCCCTCACCCTCTGCAACAGGCAAACAAATGAAGACAAGATGAATAAAATATTGGTTGTTACTATCGACCCGATTTTATTTATCGGACCGATACCGATATGTTAAAAAATGACTAACATTGGCCGATACCAATATTGATGCTGATATATTGTCCATCCTTAGTACAATGTATAAGAATTTTACAGTGAAATAAACTCAAAACAGTCTCAATAATGTTGGACAGAAGGTAACATTGAAACCGGATTCTTTCTCACCCGACTGGAAGGTTGCCAGTTTTTCTCCTTTCAAAAGGTCAAATAGGGATGTAGTCCCTGTTTACACTCTGAATTTGTGAAGTTGTTGAGTCTGCGCCGATCTAACGCTGCAGTGCCGGCGTTTGTACTTCAACACCGGATGGTAAAACGCAGCAGCGCTTTGTAAAAATTCTAAGACAGTTAAAGGAGCGACCCAGAAGTTATTTCTTGTACCCCTGAGAAACCACAGCACTTTAGTGTTTTACTTTAACTCCTACTTCACACTGGAAGCATCAGCAGCGCGGAACAGCAGTGGAATGTCACTGCGTCAAATATAATCCATTATAGTCCATGGGGGTGATTGAAACCACCTGCGATGCAGAAATTTCCAGGCCAGAATGGGACAGGAAACCACATGTGGTTCCAGTGTAAAACGACTTATTTACTTCCAGTTTTGTTTCAGAAGTGCAGCAGTGTGCTTTTCATGGCTTTAATCTTGGCAGTAGAGAGAAACAACATCATATATGACATTAAACAGTGATATCAAACGTGATGTCTATCTTTTTGGTTTAATGGCAGATGGCACAAACAAACCGTGACCCTTTTAAACTCTCGAAGGATTTCGTGATCTCGTCAGTCCAGTGAGGAGCACGGCAGAGAAGCCGTGGCTGAGATCCTTCCCGTGTGTACTGGCACGCAACGGAAGTTGCGAGTAAACCGTTCTGCTGCCGTTCCACTCTGCTGATGCTGCCAGTGTGAGTAAAAGAGGCTAGAAGCTAATGTTGAGCTAACAATGCTAACAGTTAATTAGAAACAAATAGTTGGCTCTAAAAATATCTCAAGCTACTTTTACAATTACCAACAATGATAGGCATTTATCTACTTATGAACTCACCATGTATGAATCGTCATCTAGGATCTTCTAGCGCTGATCCGTGACTGGCAACAGCCACGAAACTCACAGAATGGGAGTGAGAAAGTCACTCATGTTTTTAAAATGTGCTGCAGCACGCAAATTTGACCACAGGATGTCACTCTCATTTCATTCTTACATAATGAACCTTTACATACCACAGACATCAACATGTTTACTATCTGATTAACTATCTACTCTTTCTTTGTGTCTCACAGGATCACCTTCAACTTTCCACTTTTACCTGCAGAACCACCTGTCCTTAAGGCTGAGGTAGTAGATTGCATAGTTGTGAGGCTCACACCCTCCTTTAGTGATAACTGTGCAATCTACTGTCTTTCTTGGGGAAACAGAATAATCTGCTGCATCACTCAAGCCTTTGTGCCAGTTGGAATCTTCGCAGAAGTAAATATTAAACCAACAAAAGTTCTTTAAACATCATGCGTCACATTTTAATAGTGATGTGTTGGAAGTTGAGTTTGAGCCTAGCAAGGTGAGGTAGTAGGTTGTATAGTTTGTGAGATGGAGCCAATTCTACTCATGTGATAACTATACAGTCTCTTACCTTCCTTGAGAGGTACAATAAGATGCTCACCAGCCGACCCAAGTTGTGAGGGTACCACTCCAATACCATCATGTTGTTAACAACTGACATTACTCCAGAGGTAATTAAAACATTAGTACTTCTGAAGCTCAGGAGCAAATTGTTTTGTCATTGATAAAGGCAGAAATGTGTTTGTATTATTTCTTCTTTTTTTGCCCCGTGTCCTGTCTGGCTGTGAAGCAAACAGAATTAATGTCTGAATGCTGGTGACAAGCCTTACAGATTTACTGTCAGGTGGAGCATCAAAGCTTCTGCTTTAATGTCACGCCTGATACTTACACAACACACAACAATACAACAGGAGCAAACTATCACTGGGTCAACCTGATGAGGAAATATAAAATCAACATTGTTTTACTGAACAATCACGATAATAAATCACAGTGCATTTAGTGCCAACCACAGCCTTAAGACCTGTGTTGAACGTGCCCAAGTCCATACTTATGAGAGCACCATGTGAGCACCTGTGTGTGTACATGCGTTTGCATATGTAAGGTTTCTCTATAGGAGCATCAAATAGAGAGTGCGAGGGGCCACAAATCCGCCCCCCAAAGATGCGTAGAGGATGGAAGGAGCTCCAAGTCTCAGAGATCCAGAAGCTGCCCCCAGAGCGCAGGGACCCCAGGGAGACTGCGACCAGAAAAGCCCCCCTCAAGAAGCGCAGAGGATTGTCCCAGGGGGCCACAACCAGCAGCCAGCAGAGTCCCGGGGGATATCAGCGGCAAGCCCACAGGCCCGCCCGCAGCCTCCCACCCCCAAGCCGGCCGAGCCCGGGACCCAGCAACCCGGGACCCAGGGGTGACCAGCCCCGCCGGGGACCGAACAGAGCCCAGGGACACAGATCCGACCAGGCAGCCACCGGGAATAATCAGGCAGACTCCAAAAATCTTAAAGCCCCTTACCCGGGAGCCACGGACACTCAGGCAGACCAAGGCACCACACTCCACACCAGGTGTGGCAGGGGGAGAGGAGGCAAAGATGTATAGCAGCAAAAGAAGTCCCAGGAGAGGGGAGGAGTCAAAGGCCCCACCTGACATATACAGTCATACACAAACACAGTCACACACACTCCCTCCCTCATACTCCCCATACACACCCTATTCACTCCGGTCCCGGTACTGCTGCACAAGGGGTACAACCATTACTGGTTCCCAGAGTTAGACCCTTTCTGCTGGGGTGCTGATGAGCAGACCTCCCCGCCCAATGCTGAGCAAAGCGACCCACTTACTTCTGAAGCTCAGGGGCAAATTGTTTTGTCATTGATAAAGGCAGAAATGTATTTGTATTATTTCAAGTCATGTTTATTTCTATTTATAAAACTATATGTTTGTATATTGTCCTGAATTTAATCCAGAAATTGTGAAATTTTACACCTGTACACAAGCCTGATTTCAACTCCCATCTTTACCATAAAAAGCTGCAAACATGGACCCATTAGCAACATTTACAGAACACCAGCAGCTACGATAAGCTAAAGACACAATGTGTGTGCATGATCTGAAATGATGCATGAGATAATCTATAACCTATATAAAATAACCTATACTTTCATTTATTATGCACGGAAAGGAAGTCCAAACAGTTATCTTGCTATTGCTACTGTAATGTCCACACAAAGCAATGCCTGCAAATGCCCACTAAACTTTATTACCACTCAGCGAGCGGCCAGTGGTTAGCAATTTGATTTTACTCACCGCTCTGGCATATCCATCACTTGGTTCGAACATTGGGCATTGGTTTATAGACGTAATCTGAAAACCCACTCTGGCACTGGCGGTGGTTTGATAAGCAGTCTGAAATCACGGTCACATTCTGGCTTCTCTGGGCCAGGGATGAGGTCTTTCCTCAAGTGGAGGAGTTTAAAGTATCGGAGTTTTGTTCTCAAGTGAGGGAAACCTGGAGCGTGAGATCGAAATTGGTGCTTCGTCTGCAGTGATGCGGGCGTTATACCGGTCAGTCGCGGAGAGAGAGCTGAGCCGAAAGGCGAGGCTCACAATTTACTGTTCAATCTACAGTCCTACCCTCATCTATGCTCACGAGCTTTGGGTAGTGAGCAAAAGAAGGAGATTGCAGATACAAGAAGTCAAATGAGTTTTCTCCGCATCGGAAAACTTTAATACAAAAGAAGTAACAGATAATCAGCAACACGACTGATTTTAATACAGGTTCTTTCTTTTCACCGGTTACAGTTTATTTTGAATCATTACAGATTTGGTTTTCTTTAAGTGCAACCAAAAACCTGCAAAACTGACTTTCCATCTACCTTCATTTGAAAATATGAACTGAAACTAAGACTCAGACTGATAGTGTGAAATTATATCTATCTGCAGCAAGTGGAAGTGATGATTTATCCTGCAACATGGTTTTTGCAATGACACAGACACATGTTCAGAAACACATTTCCAAAGAATGCATCAACTTCACATGGGATGAAAAGTTCTCTGTTGGAATAGAAAGCTAAAAGTAAAACGGAATCTTTCAGCTTTCTTTCATCTCACTGTTCATGTCGCTGCTGGGACTCACTTATGCCAACCTGGCAAATTTAGGTGTTTGATTCTCTTTTGCACGTAAAACGTGGTGTTTCCAGAATTTCTGATAAGCTGTCCTAATCTTTTTTTTTATTTTGAATGCATACACGACTGGATTGACAGCTGAGTTAGCATGAGACAGCAAAATGCCAGTGTGGAAAGATGGGCCTTTTAGGGTTTTTGGATGGAAGAATTGGATGCAGTTCATTATGTGGAGAGGGAGCCAGGACAGAGCAAACAGAGCCAGGACCAGAGACAGAGATGCTGCCAGCTGCTTCTCCTTCCTCAGGTAGATTTGAGAGTGGATTTGTGAAGAGTTTCCTGGCTTACTTCTGCGGTTTCCTTGAATGTAACAGAAAACATAGCCGTACAATACAGTCATGATCAACAATGGAGTCAAGGTACACAGGAAAAAGTTAAAGGAAACCATAGTCCAGTGGGATCACACTTATGAAATGGCAGTGAAATGCAGAATTGGCAGATTGAGGAGGGTCTTTGTGCCACCCGAGCATGGGGGTAAAACGCAATGGTGTTGCAACGATCCAACATGCAGCCACCACAAGATGAGAACGTCTCCATGACACTGTCCTTTTGTACCTGTAAAGATGAGTTGTTCAGTGTCAAAAACACAAAATCAATTTAAAGATCAGATGATGTCACTAAAACGATGAACATTCTGGCTCACCAGAGAGGGATGGAGACCCCCAGGAAGCGGTCCACAGCAATGGCCATCAGACAGAGGACTGAAACCAGCGTCAGCAGGAGGATCACACAGCTGATGAAGAGAAAAGTGAGGAATGACAGTTCCACTCGGCTGTCCATCACTACGGCCAGTGGGCTGGCTACAGCTCCAACCAAGAAGTCAGCCATAGCCAGAGACACGATGAGGCAGAAGGTGGGCTGCTGGATACTTTTAGTTTTCCACAGAGACAAAATCACCAACATGTTACCCAGAATGCAGCTAACAGCAATGACAACCGCCACTGATGTGTAAATATGTTCTCCAGTGTTCATGATGCCTTCTGTCATGCTGCTGCTTAGAAAGCCGCGGTGAGACCAACAGCAGTGTGTGACAGTGTTGGATCACAATCTATGCAAAGCTTTGAGGAAGTAAACACTTGTCACTGCTCTTTAGATTTTTTTCTTGACATGGAGTTCATTTAACTGTTTTCTTAAATATTTTTCTGGAGTTGTGCAAGAGGTTTTGACTCTGCTTAAAAACAATAAATGCTATTAAAGTAGCAAAAGATTGTTTTTTTTTTACTTTAAGCTAGAGCTTTAACATTGATCTCAGTGATTGTTGGGTTAGAAACGTGACCATTTCACATCTGACACCACTCTGCAGCCCTCTGCTAACTAAAAACCACACTTAAAGAGCAAGTCACCCCCTACAAGAAACTTACTTCACTCCCACTTCATGTTTGAAAAATGCAACAAATGCTGTTGCTTGGCAGACCGAGAGGGCGGAGCCGCTAACAAATACACACACACAGAGGCTCACAATGACATTATGACATCACAACATACCAGATGACATCATAGCATACCTCTTAGCTAATAGCAGTGGCAGATTTAAATTCAGATACAGTGCAGAATTTTTCCCTGACGACGGTGCAGCACTGACAGTTTTAGGCAGAATATTTGAATTTTAACCAAGATAAACTGAACTGCCAAATTATAGACTACACGTGTGTGTAGCACGATTAGACACTCCTTTATATAGTTCATCAGCAAAAAAAAAAGTGATTTGGGGGTGACTTGCTCTTTAAGATTTTTGTGGAGTAAGTGTTCTAGGGGGCGCGCTTTACCTGCTTTACGGCTGTTAGCTGTAAAACTAGCGGTTACCGTTTCAGTTCACCCATCGTCATTAAAAAGCACAAGAAAAAAATATATAAGAAATCTAATTCATCTGTTGGCATCATGGCGAAGCCTGAAGTAAAAGTAAGAGAATAATTAAGAATCACCCGGCAATAGACTGGGTTGATGCATCAGGAATCATCAGAAACAAAGATGCACAAATCAAACATTTCACAGCAGTATTTTGAACATTTGAGTGCTGTAAATGGAGTCATTGGGCTGATTGCTCAAAGACTTTGATGCTGTTCCGATCTTTCAACATCCGACAATGGGGTCCTGTAGGGGCAATCACTTGTTGGGTTTTACTTAAACTAGTTGAATCAAAACATTTTTGCACGGGGTCTTTTTGTTTTACTCTAATATTGGGTAAAGATGGCTAGAGGCTAATGTTGAGCTAACGATGCTAACAGTGAATCAGAAAAAATTGTTTGCTCTTAAAAATCTCAAGCAACATTTTTAATTACAAACACTGGAATATTACTTTGAAATGTATTTTTGTACTTATCAGCTTACTGTGTCTGACTTGTTTTCACTTCTCATCCAGAATCTTCTGATGCTGATCCATACCTAGCAACAGCCATGAAAATCACTTGTTTAGAAAATGGGCTGCAGTACCAAAATTTGACCATAGGTTGTTGTTCTTACATATTGCACCTATAAAGGTATATGTAGTAATATGTGTTGTGTCCACCACTAGGGGGCAGCCTAGGATTGGAAGTAAGTAAGTGACTGAGAAAAAAGAAAATAATGGGGAGTTATGGTGGATGCCTGAGACTGCTACACGTGACGCAGGTTCATATAAAGCTTGGAAAAGGAACTCTTGCCCACTCGTGATACTTTCAGATACAGCAGCTGACCATAACGATATGCAAATGAATTTAACAAAAAACAAGAAAAAAGAGAGACCGTACGAAAGACAGAACACCATTTGGTTACACCATCATCTGGCATCAGTTTGGTAAAACAATTTTTTAAAGTTTTGTTTATGACATTATATCCTTTTGAAAAAGTGCTGAAATTCACATATAATTATAAACCAACAGAGACAACAATTAGGTGAGTCATTAAGTTGGAGTAAAATAAATTCTATATTAAACTGGGAGGCTTGGTAAGGACGTTAACTTGGTTGATTGGAACCGGCAATAGAGCTTTCCTTGTCATGTAGTCTCTTGCACAGGCGGATCTCTGCAAGGCCGTAATTAATTTAATAACCTCTGTAATTATGTTGTGCAACCAAACAGGGACAATAAACTGATAAAAAATGATCATAATCAGTGTATTGTTTCTAAAATTTATATTTATGCTTTTTATGCATAAAGTTTAGTTTAGTTAATAATTTTCTCTGGATCAAAGATTTGTCAAGAAAGATTGTATTTCTTGAGAAATGGTGCCCTTAGATACAAAGTCAAGTGCTCAGATACCACAATTGAATTTAAAACTAAATAATTGATGATATAAAAGAAAGCAATCTCCTAATCTTAAATTAAATATTAACACAAAATCATAGAGATAAATTGCACATTACTGACAGACATGGGAGGTCAAGATGAAACAACCAACATGCTGTTTCTACCTTGCCTTTTCAAAATTAATTTACATAGAATGCAGGTCAGACACGACTCTGAGTTGTTGGGATACTATATTTGACCACATAAGCTACCTTTCTTTAACAACAACAAGATAAATTTGCTTTACATAATACTGCTCTTTAAAGGCAACATTTTCATGTTTTTAAATCATTTTCCTGAATGAGTATGCTCTAAAATAATCCTTTACAAGGTTAATGAAAAGTCTCAAAGCCCCCACCGTGGCCTGTAGCCAAAATACCGCACTTGCAAATTCAGAGTATCTGGTCCAATCCCTTGAAGTCACGCATCTTGCATTAAGCTGTAATGCTTTACAGCAATCCATGTTCATACCTCAGAACAGGTGAGCTACGCCTGGTTAGAATTTGGTTTCTTGATAGCAAAGAAGAAAGAACAAACAGTGGTTTTAAACTTTCAATAGTGACAATTGTAACGTTTTGTAAGTGGTCCAAATTATTAAACTGTCAATGAAATACGAAAGGTGTTCAATAAGATTTAATGTTCCATAATATATGGATCATTCATATTACTGAATCTTTAAAATCCAACTGACACTGGAAATAAGTCATTTAAGTATACCAGGGAACCAACACTTATAAATAATTGGACACAGAAGCAAAAATATAGTTTATAAAAATTTATTAATTACTACACTTCTACGACTAATGATTATTACACAAAAAAACTATAAATGGCCTGTATTTGATACAGTGCCTTCTAGAGTCCTGGAACCCCCCAAGGTACTTTACAACACAATCAGTCATTCACCCGTTCACACACACATTCACACTGGTGGGGATGAACTACAATGTAGCCACAGCTGCCCTGGGGCGCACTGACAGAGGCGAGGCTGCCACCGGTCCCTCCGACCACCATCAGCAGTTAACATGGGTTAAGTGTCTTGCCCAAGGACACAAGCGGGGCTCGAATCTGCTTGAACCTGCAACCTTCCGATTACGGGGCGAGCACTTAACTCCTGTGCCACCGTCGCCCCTATAGATAAATGGTTATCCAAGGTAAAATCAACTAAGACAATATCCAACGGATGAAACATGAAGTAATATGTTATTAAAAGTCTAAATAAGTGTTTTAGGAAAGAAGGTGATGCCTGGGATATGTAGCGGAAATCCACATTTTATGCCCTCAGATTAACTTTGTTTGGATTTACACGAAGGAGAACTTAACTATTTTCACAAAGTTTTTCCTCACATTTAGCAGAAGAAAACAAAAAGGGGAATTTGAAACTGGCCCGCAGTTTCAGCATTCTGGTTACCTCCTACGACTCTCTCCCAGGATCGTAAATTGCACCAATTTGACTGGCCTCCCTTCTGCGCCAATCAGGAGGTGCAAGTAATATCAAAAAACTGGTCTGTTTTACATCAACCTCAGACTGACCCTTTTCTCAAGATAGGGGGAGTTGTAAAACTTCTTTTAGGTCCTCCTGGGAGCTTCAAGACCTGAGTCTTTATAAACCTTGCATTCCTGTTTATCAACAATCAAAGAAGGTATTTGCGTTGTTTACCCTTAAATTAGAAATCAAGGTGCTCTAAGAGAAAATCTTATCAGCCACAGACATAAACTGTTTTGTGTTTCCTTTTATGTTGAACCTCTGTCATTTGGTGTTTCTCAAGTTAAAATTCATGCTAATGGTAAAACTGTCCAGTTTTAAGACATAAATTTAGTACCTCTCTGTTTGAAGTAATACTTTGACCCCCATTTGGACCAACTTTGGTAAATTGTGATCATTGTTGGAAAGGCAGAGGTTATGTGAAAGAGCCACAGTGCCATCAAGGAGTGAAATACATGTGGGTGTGACAAAAAGAAAGTATATAAAGCCATAAGTTCAGACCTCGAGTGGCAGAACAGATAAGAAAGATGCCTTAAGTGAACCTCTGCTGGGCTTTTCCATCTGGGCCCAGCAACAGATAACCCGGCGCTTTACAGTTGTCAAGTAATTAGCTCTCAAAAGTTACGATAAAACTTAGAAGCAACTCCGTTTTTTTTTTTTTTTTTGACTTCCTACATGAAACCGGAAGTCTGCGTGTTTGGTCGAGTTCTCACATTAAGAGTAAAAGCAATTTGGAACAGTTTGATGATTCAGCTCAATTTGGGATAATTTGGGCCCGCGATCTGAATTCCACGTTTGGTATAGCTGGAGGAACCGAAAAGTCAAGCCATGATCGAGGATTACCATATCCTCCCCTTTCCACGACCGACGTTGACTGACCAGGGAGCCAGCACCATTTAATCCAAAAAGGCCACGAGCCAGGAACCCAAGGCTGTTGGAGCTACTGGCCACCCTTCCGGCGACGGAAAGCAGGTGTGTGAAGCATCTCATCTGGCTGACTTTTGTGCTAAACCCGATTAGTGAATTCAGATTAGTTCATTTCTTTATGGCGCGTTTTATTTCGACCCCAGATTCACTTTTAGCCTTCAAGATCCCCTTCCTTCTTCTGCCATAATGAGCCACACAAACACACACACACACACACACACACACGCACGCATGCATGCACGCACGCACGCACGCACACACACACACACACACACACACACACACACACACCACACACCCTCCCTTGGTTCTCCTTTCAGAAATTATTCCTAATAGTTACTATAATCCTATGTGTCACCAAATTTCCACTTTATTACAAATCAGTTATTCCATATCACTGCCATAAAGCTTTGGGTTAACAGTCGTCTTAATTCCATGCATGAAATGATAAACTGTGTTTGGTCCTTTTGTCAATGTATTAACTGGTGTTTGTAATAAACACACAAAACGTAAATAACGCCTGATCATTGTCTAGCAATTCTTGGGAATAATCGGCGCATTCTGTCAAGAATTCATCCTTTAAGATTAATTTGTGGTGTTAACTCTGAGACTGATTCTATTGCGAAGATATAGATATTAAATCCAACGGTCCAGTTCCGGAAACTGGTGGTGCCCCGATTAAAGATAAGATTATAAACAAGCTAAATCTACGCCACATTTGAAATGTAGATGTAAATCTATATTTATCGCTACAGATAATAAGAATAATCTGGCTGAAATTCGTGATATCAAGTTATCAGATTAATTTTAACTCATCCAGCGTCAGAGTGCAGCACTACAGTACTTGTGTGCTAGAGTTCTTAGCTATTCGGCTGGCCACGAAGTCTTCTCATTTTCTTTTTTGGTAACATTGTTTTTCTTTTTCCTTTTTCAAGAGCACTCACTGCAAAACACACTCATTTAAATTATCATAGATCAGATCCGTTCTAATGCATCCCTACATTCTTACAGCTTAAATGCATCCTTCCAATCATTATAGTCCTAATTTCTTCTCAGAAACCGCACAATCACACACACACACACACACACACACACACACACACAAACACACACACACACACACACGCACGCACGCACGCGCGCATGCACGCACACACACGCACGCACGCACGCACGCACGCACACACACAATTTTCCACAAGCAGAACTATTGCTGCAGAGTGCTGCAGAAAACAAAGTCCCTCCCCTCCGAGTTGTGGCTCATTGAATACCGACTTGTGAGTGAAAAGGAGGGAGAGAGGTAGGAAAGAGAGGTGATGCACTGGTAACCAGTCCTCTACGGAGACTGAATTTGTTGCTGGGATTGATCATTCAGAGCGCCTGCATGACCATTAACTGTGCAAATGTGCCAGGAAAGAAGTTATCCCTGTTTACTGGAGGATGTGTTTGCTGAGAGAAACCCCAAAGTGGAGAGAGGAGTAAACTGCCAATTTGTTGTTTTTATGATCTGAGAGAGGAAGTTACAACCACAGAGATTTATAAAGATGTCCTCGCCAGGAGTCCAGCAACAGAAGCAGGTGGACATGGGGTACATCTCCATTGAGACAGCTATTGCTGTGGCCTCTGCCCTGGGGAATATTCTGGTGGTTCTGGTGGTGTGTATGAACCGAGCTCTGCACAACGCCACTTTCTGCTTCATCGTTTCTCTGGCTGTGGCTGACATTGCTGTTGGAGTTTTGGTCATCCCTCTGGCCATCGTAATCGACATGGGATTCAAGACTCCGTGCTACACATGCCTCTTCCTCTCCTGCCTGCTGCTGAGCATCACCCAGAGCTCCATCCTCTCCCTCCTGGCAATAGCCATAGACAGATTTCTGCGCATCAAGATTCCCACAAGGTGAAAACCCGTTTTATCACTTTCAGCTGAAAACCAACATTTGTTTATTGTAAAATTAATTTGAAAATATAAAGATTAGTTTGGTCAAAATGGGTTAAATGGAAGTGAATATATGAATGGGAATGAATATTACTAATGTATGTTGGAATTATGTGGTTGTATGTTTAATTCTAGAAGAGAGTTCTCAATTTTTGGTTCAAACTGCTCAAAATTTGTTTTAAGGAAAGTGCTTAACCCTTTAAGAGACTGGGTCACGTGGCTGTAATGTGGTTGATAGTTATGTCCCATGGGCTGATAGTAAAGGATTTAAATATTCATCAAGGTTGGTAAATTTGATGCAACTTGTTGACACAGATCATTAAAGTGAAGTTTTTCAAGTATAAAATGCCTTTTTTCAGTCAGAAAGAGTTTCTCAGTGTTTTAAATCTACAAAGAGTAGCCCTGTTCATTATTGCCCGGTTTCATGCAAATCAATGCGCTGGACACTCAAACCTTTTAAGGAAATTAAAATGTCCTTGCCTGCCTAAATTACTTATATTTTGCTCGGAGAGTTGGCAGGTCCTTATGCTAATGTTTGTTTATCAGCTGGACCCTGATGTTAAATGCTGGCACTCGAGAAAATGCTTCAGATAAATTTCAACTCTGGAGCTGGTTCAAAGAAATGCCATTGCGGTTGTCTGTGGATGCACTCAGATGATTGGAAAACCTAACATTTCTTTCTTTTTTTTTTTTTTTTTTTTTTTTGATGATGCTGCCCAGGTACAACATCATAATGACCCCAGGGAGGGCATCTGTAGCCATTTGCCTGTGCTGGACCCTCTCCTTCCTCAGTGGGTTGGTTCCAATGACTGGCTGGAACAACCTTAACCATGGAAACATCAGCTGCTCTAGTGAGATAGTTTGCTCATTTTTGAACGTGATTGGGATTGACTACATGGTATACTTTAATTTCTTTGGCTGGGTGGTGGTACCTTTGACCATAATGATCCTTCTGTATGGGGAGATATTCCGAGTGATCCGAAAACAGCTTAACCGCCGGGCTGAGGCCACTTGTGATGGACAGAAGTATTACCGAAAGGAGCTGAAGCTAGCCAAATCATTGGCTTTGGTGGTTTTTCTTTTCATCATCTGCTGGTTGCCATTACACATAATGAACTGCATCAGCTTCTTTTGCCCAAAGTGTGTTGTACCAAAAGCCATCACATATGGAGGAATTATCATGTCCCACCTGAACTCAGTCCTCAACCCGATGGTTTATGCATTCAGGATAAAGCATTTCCGTCTCACGCTGATCCAAGTACTCCGTCGCTGCATGTTGTGCAAGTCAACAGAGAGCACTTCCTGTCCATCCATCACTACAGTTATGCCTGAGAAGACAAAAGCAAAGCTGTAACACAGACTTCTGAAAATCCCTCTCCAGCGTTACACAGCGGGAAAACTTTCACAATAATCGTGAAATTACAAGAACCACAAAAGACCATCCCAATAAGGAAAAGACAGCATTTAATGGCATCCGGTGACATGTTCGCTTTTGATTCAAGTCTGTTTTTTTGAGTACATGAGAGAAAAAGCTAATAAAAAGTTACATGCCCATTAGTCTGATTGGCTGTCATTCACTGCTGTGTTAAGAATGTTGTGTAAAATTCTAACAGTAGATGCTTCATGGTTTTTTAAAACTCATTTACCACATAAGTCTTTAAGGAGCAAGTCACTCCAAATCAACATTTTTTTTTTGCTGATAAACTATGTAAATGTGTGTCTGATCATGCTGCAGACACGTGTGGTCAATAATTCAGCACTTTAGTGCATCTTAGTTAAAATTTAAATATCCTGCCTAAAACTGTCAGTGTTGCACTGTTGTCAGGTAAAAACTCAGCACTGCATTTGAATTTAAATCTGACGTCGCTATTGGCTAAGAGGTACACTATGATGTTAAATGGTACATTATGAGGTCACAATGTCGTGAGTGTGTGTATTTGTTAGTGGCTCCACCCTCTCGGTCTGCTAGGGAACAGCATTTGTTGCATTTTTCAAACAGGAAGTGGGAGTTGAGTAACAGTCTGGTAGGGGGTGACTTGCTCTTTAAACTGTTATCAAACATCTTGATCACCAACAAGCTTTCCTCTTTTGTCAGTTATCAGTGGCGTTAGATTGGAGTCTATTGTTAAGGTGGCCCACTAAAGCTGTGGCCGCAGGGTTGTCGGTGCCTGTCGTGGAGGCAACACCTGAACTCGCTGGCAGACACCAGCAGCTAGGGATGCTGTCAAGCTGAAGAAAGAGTTCTGTCAGATATTTTTGGCCTCCAGATATTTTTGGACTCCAGAGGCAGCTGATAGGTACCGGCAGTCCAAGCGGAATGCAGCTCGGGGTGTCGCGGAGGCAAAAACTCGGGCGTGGGAGGAGTTCGGTGAGACCATGGAGCACGACTTTCGCGCTGGATGTCGTAGGGCTGTGTTGGCTGACGCAGCTCTGCAATATCATCAGGGGCAGTTCCGCTGGACTGGCACACTAGGGTGGTGGTCTCCCTTTTTAAAAAGGGGGACCGCAGGGTGTGTTCCAACTACGGGGGGATCACACTCTTGAGCCCCCCTGGCAAGGTCTATTCAGGGGTTCTGGAGAGGAGGGTCCGTCAGATTGTTGAATCTCTGATTCAGGAGGAGCAATGTGGTTTTTGTCCTAGCTGTAGAAAACTGGACCAACTCTGTAGCCTTAGGGAGGTCATGGAGGGTGCATGGGAGTTTGCCCTACCAATCTACATGTGTTTTGTGGATTTGGAGAAGGCGTTCGACTGCGTCTCTCGGGGGGCCTTGTGGGGGGTACTCCAGAAGTATGGGGTACCAGGCCCTCTGACATGGTCTGTTAGGTCCCTGTATGACCGGTGTCAGAGCTTGGTCCGCATTGCGGGCAGTAAGTCAGGCTCGTTCCCAGTGAGAGTTGGACTCCGCCAAGGCTGCCCTTTGTCACCGATTCTGTTCATTACCTTTATGGACAGGATTTCTAGGCGCAGCCAAGGTGTGGAGGGCATCCGTTTTGGAGCCCTGAGGATCAGGTCTCTGCTTTTTGCAGATGATGTGGTCCTGCTGGCTTCATCAGAATGTGATCTCCGGCTTTCGCCGGAGCGGTTCGCAGCTAAGTGTGAAGCAGCTGAGATGAGAATCACCTCCTCTAAATCTGAGACCACTGTCTTAAGTCGAAAAAAGGATGATTGTCTTCTCTGGGTCAGGGATGAGGTCCTGCCCCAAGTGGCAACAGCCATGAAACTCACGCAACAAGAGTGAGAGAGTAATATTTTTGCCTAAAAAATGGAAGGAATTACCCACATTTGACCACAGGATGTACTTCTTACAAATTGCACCTATAAATCTTGTAAAGTTTTAAAAACATGGTGGTGTTAATTGAAAATATTTTTACAAAGTTGTGATAAATGCTTATTTTGCATATGTGCAGATACTTTACAAATCCATTACATAATGTGAAATTCTTAATGCACAGAGAAAAATCAATAAGTTTCCTGCTTTTGGTTTTATGTGGAAATCATTCATTGTACTTGGGAATAACAAGGCAGTGTTCAAACTGCAAATTAATCATTCAGTTACTTTTTCAAATGGAACAAGACAAACAAAAGCAGCTAATTCTGCATTTATCACAGAAGGCAGAAATCTGCGGTGCTAATTTAGTTTGTTCGAGCCATAATTTAAAAGCTGTGGCGGAGAAGTGAAAGGCTAGAGCATTTGAACAAATTAAGCGAGCGCAATTATCCTGATGTACTCCAACTGTAAAACTGTGATAAAGTCTCAGCTAAAGGTTCTGCTTTGTCATTAATTTGACTTCTGCTTGATTTCAGCCTCGGGAGTCAATAAAATTTAAATTCTTAATCATGTTGGAAAATCCACCTTTAAAAACCACAGTTTATGTGCTGAAAATGAAAACTTTACAATTATGTTTACTTTTGTGATTTTTAAATAAAAGAAACCTGTGTGGTTGTAAATAATGCCTGTATTAGCATCTGTCACCTTCATCCATCTGAGGGATTTGAAACTGCTGAGTCTGGTTTAATCCTCAGCCCTGGTCTTAAGTCCCACACAACCAACTGGGATTTACTTTGAGCACGGTGTCTGCGGTTGGTGGTGTAACACACTGGTAAAAGAAGCATGGCCTAAACGTAGACTGAAAAAGGCAGAAAGTTATATTTTGGGTTCATTTTATGTCTTGACCCGGTCTACAAAACAAATCTTCTAAAGGTAAGACTCTTTATATTTGTGTTTTACATGTTTGTTCTCACTTTCATTAAATGCACACTCTAACATATTTTTATTTTGGATACCCTGAAGAATCAAAGAGAAACTTACATTTGAGGAAAATGGCTAACGCTGATGAAGCAGATGGCAGTCAAGATCCTGAGGCTCCAGATGAAAATGTGGACGAAGCCTTGCTGCACTTCAGCAAACTCGGAGAAAGTCGGCGTGCGCTACCATGGGTGCAGTGGACCTTCAAAGAAAAAGCTAATTATTTTATGGACCACATCTTTCTTGGATTTTTGATTCTCTTTGTGGTCGTGCTTCTGTGTGAATGTCTATATAAATGTTGGTATGTGTCAAACGTGAACAAGGCAGCAGAGTTCGTGTCAGATTTGGTGATTTCTGTATTTGAGTGGCTCTTCACTCAAGAGAGACATGAGGAGTTGGCTGAACTGTAAGACGTTTGAAAAAATAATGATCTGAAGGTTGTAATGTCACTTTTTTGTTTTTCTACAATATTAAAGGCAAAAATAGGTAACCCACGTGCTCGGAAACTATGTCAGCAGCTTTAACAGTAACTTCACAACTTTGTTACTAACTGTTAAATAGTGGAAATGCATTGTGTGTAAGTAATCCAGTTGTCATTAAACAGCAACAAAAATGAATTTTCCTTTTAATATATACATATATATATATATATATATATATATATATATATATATATATATATATATATATATATATATATATATATATATATATATATATATATTTATATATATATATTTTTTCTTCTAATTTGTAGCAGTTTTCCAATCTGGGACGTCGGGGCCTCTCGACTTAGGCTGTTGCCCCCGTGACCCGAATCCAGATAAGCAGAAGAGAAGGATGAATTTCGATCATATTTTCAAATCTTTTTTTTTTTAAAGATTTTTAATTTTTTTGTATTTTGAATTTTTTGTTCTTGTTAAGCGCCTCACAATTTTTATCTTGAGAGGCGCTGTATAAAAGATAATTTTCTTTCTTTTAATTATTATTTCTGCAACACTTCTTGAAGTTTGTCCAGGAAAAAAATAAAATAAAATAGAAGTTCAGTCTATGGAAATTACATCGATTAGTAATGTCTGGTGGCATCAGTACGCCAGTAAAGGTTTCTGAATATTACAGCAGCAATAAAAAAGAACTTGTATTCAAGAACATATCTGTCAATCTTTTGTTGAATTCACAAATAAAAGTAAAACAAAATTAAAATGTTTAATTCTCTTTGGACTTATTTTATTATTATTGATCATATTAGTACATGTTGATTTATTTTAATTTTGTTCGAAGCTTTATATTTAAACGCTGGTGTGACGTAGCCTGGCCTTTTCTTTACCCTAATATGCACTTTTGCGCTGATGACACAATCATTTACTGTTTTGGAACATCCCCCACTTGAATTACTACAGAAAGCTTTTAATGTGGTCCAACAAACCCTTCTGCAGTTAAAATTGGTCCTCAGTGCTGACAAGACTAAGCTAATGTTGTTTTAAAACTCTAAAAATACCTAAGTATGCCCTCAGTGACCACTCTTTAGGGAAATATCATAGAGGTGGTCCACACATATACATGGGGTCTGGCTCGATCACTCCCTCTTCAAGCTCCATATAGACAATCTTGTGAAGAAACTCAAACTCAGACTGGGTTTCTTTTTCAAAACAGTGTTAAATATATATATAATAAAAAATAATAAGATTATATATTTAGTTATAGATATATAGATATATAGTTTTTTTGTTTTGGCAAAAAAAAAACTAACAAAAAAAACTAGTTACTGCAATATTTCTGTCTAATCTGGATAGTGAAGACCTTTTGTATATGAATGCCTCAGCACAGTGTTTTTGTAAGATTGATGTGGTTTATCATGCCTCGCTGAGGTTTATTACTAACTTAGACCACAACCCATCATTGTGGGTCATATTAGCATCCCGAGTGGGATGGCCTTCTTTGTCCACCAGGAGGTTGGGACATTGGTATACTTTCATTTATAAGGCCATGCTTAGCTTACTTCCGAATTAAGTCTGTAACTTAATCTCATGGAGAAGTGTAACTTTTCACAGTCTGCGTGCAATCAATCGTTACTCTGGGTTTTGTTTTCTCGCCGAACTGTGTAAAGGCTTTCGTTCACTCTTCTCCTTCTGCATGGCACAGGCTGCAGGAAAACTGGAAATTAACGGAGTTTACTTCGTTGAACACATTTTAAACCAGACTGAGAGCCCTTGAGATGGATCCCCTGTGTTGTAACTGCCTTCTGTAATTTTGTACATAACATATATGTGTCGCTGAAAAATTAGTAACTGTAACTTTTGCTGCCTGTTGGCCAGGACTTCCTTGAAAATTAGGCTTTTAACCTCAATGGGGTCTTCCTGGTTAAATAAAGAATAAAGAAATCATATCTCCACACAACCTGAGAGTGGCCTTGGAGGAACATGATTGGACACCATTGTTTTATTACAACCAATTAAATTAACGCACTGAACTTCTTTCAACTTCCGGTTCCGCCTCTCCTTCTCTTCCGGATTTCGTAGCGTGACCGACGTTTCGTGTCTATTTAGACTTAAAAGTAAGTCCAAAATTGAGAGTTATGAATTATATTGTTTGTTCTTTTCAGTCACATCGCGTTTTAGACGTTTATCTCCCTCAGTTGTTCAGTTAAATGTGTTTCCAATGTTTCCTCGTTTGTTGCAGCGTAGCCAGAAATGGTAAAACTGTCGGTCGCCATGCTGCTTCGTTTAGCCATTAAACACTAATAACGTAGATACACGCTCAGAACCAAAATGTGCTCTTTGCTGCAATGTATTGGCAACAGTTTTCAAGCAGCCCTTTAAGTCAAACGTCTTCATGTATGCATTTATGAAAGTCGTGTACCATTTTACACTAAACTAAAGCTGATGTTTGCTAGCATCTGCTTGCTAAATGCTAACCACTCGGTGCCTTAAGTATGAAGTCCCGTCGCTCTGTGCTTATTTGCTTCAACAGAGAAACTGACTGTTGTATTGTAATAATTTAAACTGAATCTAAAGTGAATTCGAAAATATTGTCATTTGCTAGCACCAGTTTTAGAGGGCCTGTTAGCAGCTAGCAATTGATTTAGTTGGTCACTTTCTACATTAATCAGACTAAACTATATTTTATATCATATCATTCAGGGGTTAAACAACGCAAATAGGGGAGGCAGTGAAACATTTTACTATTAAGGGCTGGGAAGAATTTGCAGCAAATGTAGGTTAATGTCTGCAATCATTTTAACAAAGCATTATGAAATGACAGGATTATGATGAAATCAATTTGAGTAGGTTTGTTATTGGAAACTAGGCCAGTTAATATAAAAAAAAATTTAAATCTCTGATAGTGGTTGATTCTTAACTACAAAATAAATACAATTTAGGGAATTTAGGAAGTTCTAATGTTGCTTTCATTCATTTTCTTTGAAATAAACCTGATTATTTTTTGTGTCAGAATGCGTTACGTGGCCGCTTACCTCCTCGCTTCACTGGGTGGAAACACCAGCCCCTCTGCAAAGGACATCAAGAACATCCTAGGTAGCGTGGGGATTGAGGCCGATGACGAACGCTTGAATAAAGTATGTTGTTGGTGGTTTACTGTTGAAACTATGTATTTTCCATGTGGTTAAATGTTATTTTCTCAACAGGTCATCAGTGAGCTGAATGGAAAGGACATCAATGACGTCATGAATTCAGGTTAGTGGCTCTTAAAACTGAAAATGCTAAGTTCAGTGTCCTGCAGTTTCATGAGTTTTTCTTTTGGTCACAGGCCTCTCCAAGTTAGCCTCTGTACCAGCAGGTGGTGCTGTAGTGGCACCTGCCGCTGCTGCTGGTGGGGCCGCTGGAGCTGGGGCTGCCCCTGCTGCTGGTACGTAATTATGCCTGTAGTAATATCTTTAACTTTTTTCCAACATTAACATTTGACTTTAATTTGCTTTGCAGCGGAAGAGAAAAAGGAAGAGAAAAAAGAAGAATCAGAAGAGTCAGACGAAGATATGGGCTTTGGGCTCTTTGATTAATCTTCCTTCTCTTTGTATAAAAAGCAATAAAAATGTAAAAGGTTTACACACATTCTTTTGGTCCTGGATTTATTTTAGAATTTTAAAACAGTAAGTACTCAAAAACATTTAAGTTTTTAAATTTAATCATTTCTAAGGATTCTTGGTAAAGGTTATTCTCTCTCCTAAGAGTGGTAAAGATGAGACATCCAGATGGCATTATGCAATCATAAACGTGTGTGTTCAGTCTTGTAATATCTAAAACCACAAAAGCCCTGTTAACTCCTAATACTAGGGCTGAAGGAGCCAAAGAGCTGCTGTACATAAATACTTTTTTCTGTGTATTTGTTAAAAAGAAAGGACACTATGTTCTAACTTCAAGGCATGTTTGCACTTGAATTTCCTAGAAACCCCTTAAACCAGTTATGCAATGTAAAGACAATATAATTAAGCAGTGGTTCTTTTTTCTTGAGGTAAAATTACGTTTTTAGTGTTCACTTTATTTTTGTCGAAAAATATTAACTCAAAACTGCATTTTAAAAGCAGAGTTGTGCAGGCATGCTGGCCTCTGCAGCAAAGCAGTCACCATGTGCATTTATAGATGGTGTGTGTGTGTTTGCTTAATTCATTAGTCATGGTACTTGTGACACCTGTCATGTAGCACCTTTTGTAAACTTGACAGAAATCTGGATTATTGAAACACTCATGAGAATAATTGATACTATTAAATCATGAAGGTTTGATGACAAGTACTCCATCGTTTGAGCAGTAAATCCAGACGAGGACTTCTGCTTCATGTTCATCGTACAGGTGATGTTTTTGTTGGAGGAGACGCGTGTAAGACTGGACTAGATATCAGTCCTCACTTGTTTTGCAGCTGAGAGGCATTATTCAAATTACATGACTGGAAGTCATATCTTCTCTCACACTCTTTATTACTTGGCACATTAAGCTGATGATGTACTTCAGATTCTGCAAAACAGTAAACATGTTTGTTTTGGTTTATGTTGGTGTGGTTTCTCGTAAATCATTCAGCTGATAACGTCACATCTTCCACGCAACCTTCACAAGAGCATTCTTGTGCACGAGCATCAATATATACAGCGTGATGTTCACCATTCTTTTTACCCACCTGAAATTCGAGTCTCTTCAAATTTTCATAATTTTTTAATTAAAAAATAAAACTTTTGCCACCCAGGACTTCGTCAAAGTTCACTACAAAATAAAAGGCCCTGCTAAATGTCTTGGCATGCTCCAAAACAAGTTCAAGTAGCTTTGTGACCTCCAGCTATTTGAACAGTGACTCATCTCGTTGAACTTGTCATTACAGATTTATCTGTATACGGGTTTTATTGACTGGACAGTTTTATTTTTAATTTGTTTATCACACGATTATAGATGGACAAAGTAGCTTGATGATGGATCAATTATTTAATAAAAAATGACTATGAACGCCTGCATTCATAATACACACATTTGATGTTCATTCTCCCAAAGATATTTAAAACATGTTCACAGTTTATCTTCTGTACATTATTACGAAGTTGCTTCAATTATTGGTGCTTTTCCTGTAGTGTCACATTGGGAATCACCTACTTGTGATTCTGACTCAGTGCTTTTGCAGGACAGTTCTGTTGTGGGCGTGCTCCTTAGATAAAATTCTGTAAACGGATCCCTGAAGCAACACTTCAGCTATAACCTAAACACGCCCTCACTCAGAGAACTCAAACATCCTGGTGCAGCAAGTTTTCCATAAACATGAGCTAAAATGTAAAAAAAAGAAACAAATTATATATATATAAATTATGAAGAAGCTTTAAAGTGGGTGTTTGGTAGTTTTTTGTGCATGCATTTGAAACGTTGAACGTATGCATGCACACACATCTTTACCCACATGTGGACCGGGAGGAAAGTAGCTCAGATTTAGATTTTTGTGTGAAACGATTTCAGGATCTCAGTCTTCAGTGTCGGACCACGGATGATCTGAACAAGCCTGAAAGGAACAAACAAAGAAAATATTAATATCCCAGTTTTATTCCCAGTGATGATAAAACAATTTACCATTTTAGTCTTTTAAATGTCCACCACACACTGAAAGTTTTTTACAGCAATAACAACACAGATCCAACGGTAATTTTGGTAAAAGTAAAAGAATAAGTTTGTTCAAATGTAGTATCTGTCCTTAATCCTCACCTGTTGGTATTTAAATCGATCCTTCAGATAACGGTTCCCGAGACAAGTGATGTGGCCAACATTCTGCTTGGAAAGCCCAGCTATCCTGGCAGTGAAATCCAGAGTGAAGGCCAGCTTGACCAGCTCTGGTGCAGTGGGCGGCACAGTGGGAGGCCTCTGGGTCGGCGTTGCTTCTTTCTCTAGATAAGCATCGGCCAGCTTCTGGAAGGAGGAGTAAGACATCTGCTGGAAGAAGTTGCTCAGGGTGGGGTTATCTTTTAGCTGTAGGAGTTAAGGAGAGAAGTCCAGTCAGGACAAGCACCTCATAGATTTTTCAATGTCCATGGCTTAAAGCTTTTAAGCAGCAATCTGGAGTTTTCCCCTTTCAGGAATTATGTTAGCCTGGCAAGCCATTGTATCCTACATATGTAATAATTCAGTCTGGCCAAGACCCATAGATGGAGCTCACAATTGGTCCAATCAGAGTAATGAACAATGGGACGTATTCATCGCTACAGCAATCAGTCAACAGGGCAGTCTGCCATACACAACTGAAGGTGAGGCAAATACATACAATAAATGACTCAAGTACCTTTATATCTACTCATGTCTCAAAGAAAAGCTCAAGTCTACATCATCCTAAGTTGATGCCAATAGGAAGCCTAAGTCTCCCCCCTTTCCGGTCGGACCATGGATTCCCGGAAGAACAAAAAGATGAATGCAAGTCAACGGGATTAAAAACGCTATTTTCTAATCTGCTTTGCCTTACGCCCTGGATCGCACACGTTGTACTGCAATTTAAATGAAAAGTAATGGTGTGTGTTTCGACCCTGCCAGTCACGTACTTTGAGATTTATCAGCTTGTAAAAGTTTGTAATTAGCGTTACTACACACCAGAAATCGGCACGTCGCATATATGGCGTCAGCGCGTTGTTGAAGTCAAAATGCTTCTTTGAAAATTTGCGGACATCATATGTGAAATCCATGGCACAAAACTATTGGAATTAGAAAATAGCGTTTTAGCCTCATTGACTTGCATTCATTTTTTCGTTCTTCCAGGAGTAGATGGGCGTGACTTAGGCTCCCTATGCCATTTTAAAAGAGCCGATTCCATCTTTGTAAGTTTTTTTCATCGCAGCTCTACTGCAGGGGCCGCCCAACAACGTAGAGCACTGACTGGCCAGACACAAAACTGACCAGGCAATGGTAGACCACATGAGGCTACGATGGACCGACCTGCACAGCAAAACGCTTTAGCTACCGCTACGGTTGGCCAACATTTCTAGGCTTAAATAATTTAGAAATCCATAAAAGTGATAGTCTGACCCTGTACTGTGATATAATGTAGGCAAAACTGTCCAATTTCTTAGACAATATACATCCACACAAAATTAAAAGTTTTAATCTAAAAATAATTTAAATTCTAGCCTGCTTTCTTTGTGATAAAGGATGTTTGTTGTTGACAGTAATCATTACCGCAGCCCATAAACACTATATGAAAAACCGTGTCAGACCATACTGCAGCAGTCACACAACCTCAGAGCTGGTTTAATAGATCAACATTTGCTCACATAACCCTCTTCCTCTATTGTCACAAAACAAGGAAACACAAACCTTGTCATGGATGGCATCACCCTGTTCTTTTGTCAGAGTGATGATCCTTTGGAGGACTTCAGCTGAGACCAAAGAAAAATAAAAGCAAGGGATTATTCATATGATCAAAGGTTTTAATATTCACACCACTAAAATCTTTATTATTGCTGAATGTGTTTAACAGGAATCCATTTTAAAGGTAGCTTTAACTTTCTGGTTGGCTTTGGCTATGACTTCCTTTTAAGGCTTGTTGATGAAAGAAGGTCACTTACCATCTGAAAGAGTTTCAGCCTCTTCTTTTTCTTTGACCTCGTGCACAATTTTTTCCAGTTCTTCAGATACTTTTTCATAGTAATAGTACGTTGGCTCGACAGCTGTTAAGCAGAGGTTTGGTTAATAAACAATGTTACATTAGTAATTAATCAATATCTACTGCATTAAGCATCACATACCTTGCACTTTGGTGAAATCAGCAGGAGTCAGATCTCTGCTAAGTCTACTGGCTCTTTTAGAAAGCCGTTTGGACAATGTCCTCTTCAAGGACTTTCTCCTTGTTGGCTTCTTTTGAGAAGCGACTGATGTTGTTGGGAGGCAGGTGGTCACTGGCTCAGAGACAACAGAAACCTCTGATGGACCATGTTCATCCTCCTCATTCTTCCGTGAGAAAAAGCCTAAAAAGGTCTTCCAAAGAGAGGGTTTCTTGCTCTTTTTTGACTTTTTGGTTGGTTTCTCAGACTCTTCAGGAAGTCTCTCAGGTGGATCTGCTGAATGTTCAAACACAAGGGATGCATTGCTTTCCCTGAGTGTTACTGGCTCAGCCAGATGAAGGGAGGGATCGCTGGAGGATCTCCTTGTTTTGCTGGCCATGGTCACCCACTTTTCTTTCCCCCCATAATGCTTTGCTCCCAGCGCACCTTCATTCAGGCTGAGGCTACGTTTGACGTAGACCTCCAGGAGACGTACCGTGTCTTTATGAGGAACAAAGATCAGCTGGCCGTTCTCAGGCCGTCGTTTTGCTGTCTGCGTTTCCATGATGGGATCTGACAAGAAGAACATATCACAAACAATAACGATCAGATTTGCATCCAACAAAAGCTGTTCCCTGTCAGAAAAGGCTGGATTATTTTTCTTGTATTTCGTTGAACTATTTAGGATAATCATCAAACAAAAATGCCACACTTTATTTTCTGAATATTCTAGGCTGTTTTTGATTGGTTTTACTAACAATTTTATTGTTTGGGTGTGCTTTTTTATGTCAAAGTTTTAAAATAAACTGTAATCACTAATCCTGAAGCCCCCACACTACAAAGAAAACGACAGTCTGCAGATTATTTTTCAATGGGCTGCTTGCTGCCAAATGCAACCCGGAAATGCCGTTGAAATTAGGGAAACTGGATTGATTGAACAATTCTATTAATAGCCAGTAAATAAAATAAATACTCATAATTATATGAATTAGTCTACAAAACAATACATCTAATCTTATTTATAACAACAACAAAAAAGCGGCGTTGAACGAAGAGACGTTCAATTACTGCTCGAAACTCGGAAAAAGAAGAACTGTACGAAAGCATGTTTAGCCACCAGCTCAAGTAGCTTTTCTGTGAACTCACCGGATACTTCCTCCTGAGTTTTGTACCCTCGCAGCTTCTCAAATGAGCGTCAGGAGGCAGACTGGAAGGTTTTTATTAAATGAAGTCAGCAGACTCCAAAGTTCGGCTACCTGTCGGACTCCGGCTCCTCACCCACAAGTGGAGAACGTCGCTGGTGCTTTTTCTTCTCACCTGTAAACTGCCGTCACCTGACATAAGAAAATCGGGGCGGAGATAGGTATGGGAATTTTTGCTTACGTGCTTTTCGGTGTTTTACTGCCGGTGTTCGGACAGAACACCGGAACCGAGCCCTGACCTCGCGACTGCGCTGCGCTAAACTGGCCACGTTTTACAGGAAGTCAAAACCCCTGAGTTTAGTTCCTGGTGTTTCACTTTCGGAACCAATCTCTTCAGTCTAGATTAAGAATTTCTTACATTTTAGATTTTGATTGTTGGATATAACATTTAAGAGTCTTATACTCTCATTATTTCATATGGGGGGGGGGGGGGGGGGGTGTTAGACACCTTAGTGGGATTATTTTAGTTTAGTTTCAGTTTACAAGCATTTAATATTGTAGAAATAATTAAACTTGTTAAATGAACTACAAATAAATGTCCATTATTTATCTAGTGGAATGCATGACAGTGACCATTTGAGTTTTGAAGTTAGATCATTGGAGTTGTCATCATTTGGTATATATCTTTATTTGTTAGCTCAGGATTATGAGGTACTGCCCTAAGTGGAGGAGTTTAAGTATCTCGGGGTTTTGTTCACGAGTGAGGGGAAAGCCAGAGCTCGAGATCGATAGGTGGATTGGTGCTGCATCTGCAGCGATGCAGTCGTTGTACCGGTCTGTCGTGGTCAAGAGAATGCTGAGTCAGAGGGCAAAGCTCTCGATTTACCGGTCGATCTACGTTCCTACCCTCACCTATGGTCATGAGCTTTGGGTAGTGACCGAAAGAACGAGATCACAGATACAAGCGGCCGAAATGAGTTTTCGCCGAAGAGTGGCTGGGCTCTCCCTTAGAGATAGGGTGAGAAGTTCAGTCATTCGGGAGGGGCTCAGAGTAGACCCGCTGCTCCTCCACATTGAGAGGAGCCAGTTGAGGTGGCTCGGGCATCTGATCAGGATGCCTCCTGGACGTCTCCCTAGTAAGGTTTTCCGGGCACGTCCAACCGGGAGAAGGCCTAAACGGAGACCCAGGACACGTTGGAGGGACTATGGGTGTGTCCGAATCCACGGGAAGGATGCTTGTAAGAGTGCGATGACGTCACAGCGCAGCGGCGAGTACTGTCTGAATTCCAAGAATACTCATTCTCACGTCCTCAAATGCGTCCTCGCTCTGCCCACATTTCGAGGATGGGTCTGTTGTATCCTCACAGAACAAGGCTATCCCAGCATGCTTTGCGCGCCGGCTGTGGATTTTCAACAGGCAGAGAAAATTGGGAGAGCTACGAAGTTTTAAACGTAAGTTTGTTAAGAGCTAGCCATAGAAACCTAAAAAGCTTAAAGCGGTTCAGTTTATAAACATTTTTCGTTTGTATATTTGTTTTTTAAATTACATTTTAGGCAGAAATCAGCCAGAACGAGTTTGTATCGCGGGTCCCAGTTATTCCCGTGTGTGTATGTGTGTGTGTGTGTGTGTGTGTGTGTGTGTGTGTGTGTGTGTGTGTGTGTGTGTGTGTGTGTGTGTGTATGGCGAATTAAACTTGTCATTTGTTTTAAGGACAATGGAGCAAAGAAGCGTTTTTATTGAGCTTAGAGGTGAAGAGTGAAGCTGTTTACACACAACCACATAAGTTCTTCTGTGAAAAGTAGTTTTACATTCAGGGATTTACACAGCTGACACGTTTTAATGAAGTAAAAAGTTTGTGTGAAGAATATAATTTTTTATCTTCTCATGTGGGTGAATGTAAAAATGTGTTTATTGCCTTTTTGTCACCTGTGGTCTCTGATTTTCTCTGTAGGACTGCAGGTGTCCAGGGTCAGGAGAGGCTTTACCTGGTGGTCATCCTGGGAGAGAAGCCTTCTACTGTCATCATGTTAATGTTAATTAGCTGTTTGATATTTGAACACGTTTATTAAAACAAATACTAATAACTTTCTGGTCATTGATTTTATCACCAATTTTATTATTACAGATGTTTTTGAACATGTTACATGAACGGAAAATGAAAAGATGGTAAGGAGACAAGCTTATTTATAATACGTTACACTTATTTACAGATCAAAACCAGTATGGACCAGTTATGTACGGTTAAAGCAGGATTAACCTGAGTGACTCTTCCTGGATCATTTATTTAAACTGAGTGAGCAGGAAGTCTTTAACAGTGCAGCTGGATCTGCTGCAGGAGGATCCAGACGTGGATGGAGGGCTGGAGCAGACCCGTGGCTGGACGTTTCTGGTCAGAGGAACATCATACAGGACGGTCTGCAGAGAGAGCTTTGGGACGCTTCCTCTCACTGTCCACTCCATCGTCCATCTACAGGGACTGCTGGGCTGGTTCAGACGGCGGCTGTTACATCTCTGTGAATGACTTGCCTGTTAACAGTAGTGCTGGTCTGCTGGTACCTCCTGCAGGACAGAGCACCGCTGACCTCCTCCACACACATCTTCCTCAGGCTCATCCTCCAGACCCACAACTTCACCAGCACAGAGGCAGATGTGCAGCACAGTGCATGCTGACCTGTAATAGATTAAATAAGAGTTTGTTTAACAGTGTTGTATCATTCTGACAAGATGGCGCCGGTGTGTGTGGCACGCCGTCTGTCTCACGGACACTTTGTTTACAGTAAAATAACGACAAAATAGTGTAATGTTGGATGTAAGGTTACATTGAAACAGATTTTATTCTCAGCCGGCTGGAGGTTGTCAGTTTTTCTTCTTTCAAAAAAAAAAAAAAAAAAAAAAACCAAAGAGGGACATAGTTACTGTTTACACTCTGTGAGGCAGCATGGTTGCCAAGTCTGTGCTGAGCTAACGGTGCAGCATTTGTAATTCAACACAGTCAGGCAAAAAGCTCCAGAATTATTTAAAAAAAAACAAAGCCAGTAAATAGGAGCGACCCAGAAGTTATTTCTTGTACTCATATGATGCCACGGCATCTTTTTTTACTCTAAAGGGGGTCAAGCAGGCTATAGTGTTTAGCTTACAATGCTATTGGTCAATTAGAAACAAATAGTCATCTCTAAAATATCTCAAGCTCCTTTTCAATTACCAACAACTCGATATTACAGTGAAATGTATGTGTTAAAGTCCCATGTGTCGTCACACACTGGTGAAATTTGTTCTCCACATTTGACCCATCTCCAGGGGGAGCAGTGAGCTGCAGACATGGCTGCACTTGGGAAATATTTGTTGGTTTAACCGCCCAACTAAAACCCTTAATCTTGTGTTTAAGGCAGGAAAGCATTGGGTTCCCATTTTTTGTCTTTGGAATGACCCTAGCATGGATTTGAACCTGCGATCTCCCTGTGTCAGAGCGCACTCTCAAACCACCAGGCCTTTGAGTTTGTTATGTGTCATCCCATGATTATGTTCTTAAAAAAATATTATGCTGCAAGTTCACATCAGACCACCTCTGACCTTAAGGTGTCCAGATGGAGTATCAGTATTAGTACTATCATCAAAATTCAGTCATAAACATGTCTACCGCCCTCTGGTGGAGGATCTACAAGTGGCAAGGGCCATTTTATTTTTTTTATATCTTATATTATTATCTATTATTATTGTTATTATTTATTTTGTTTATGACTGGTATATTATTCTATGGTTAAATTATAAAATAAAACATTAATGTTTATTTTTTTTTATTAACAATAATCAATAAACTGTTCAATTTTAAACTGATGTTATATTATTGGTAGAAGTAGTAACTTTATATTTCAGGCTTTAAATGGTTAAAATTTGAAATATTTTGTTAATAAACACAGACATAGGCAAAAACATTATCACTCAATGCTAAAAGGAAAAAGGTGGCCAATAAATTAAACCTGAGGCAAATATTTTAATCATAGCAAGTTTATAAGATGTTGTTTTCCATTTTTATTTCACCAAAACTTTTGCAATTCACAGTTGTCAATCATTCAGAGCACAGTAGTAGTAGTTACTTCTATAGAAGTAATAATTCCCTGCATGCAGGTGAAGTGATGTCATAATACTCTCACACATTTCCTGTAACTTACTTTGTGTTACCTGAAACTGATTTCGTATGAATAATAGTGAAATACTTTCTGGAAGGAGTGGCGATGCGAGGAAAACAACTGAAAGTCTACCCTTAGGTGCTTTTCTTTCCTGGTTAGCAAATAGTTTTTATGATTTATGAAAATATCTTTGTCAGCTCAGCAGGTTCTTATCTGGATTATCTGGAAACGTCAAATATACTCCAACTGAAAGTAGGTCCATTGCATCAACCCAACAAATGAGTAATCATCCATCATCTGAACAGATTGTTTACAGCTTGTCCTGCCTGGGCAAGGAGAGCTTTTAACCTGTGATAAGGGAACTTGTATCAGAATATTACTTTGACTAAAATCTGACATATTTTAAAAACCACTCCAAATGAAAGCAACACTTCCAGCAGAATCTATAAACCAGTGTTTAATGACCTATTCATAATATAGATTGTCTTAAATAATGTTACATTGTCTTTTATTGTTTTTACTGTATGATTATAGATTCATCTTAAACATATTATGTTTACGATTTCTCATGTTATAAACTAACAGCCATCGATTCTGAATTGTTGTGAAGCAAGCTTTGCATGAAATGGGCCATATAAATAAAGTTTTGATTGATTGATTGTTTGATCAGTTTAATATAGTGTTTGAAAATATTTTTTATCAAACTGTAGAACACAACCTCCTGAGAAGTGATTAGTTTTACTGGGTTTGTAGGATCCAGGATTGCCCACTAGGTGGCAGACTTAACAAACCTTGAGTTAAAACAACAGGATGAAAGATGTAGCTGTAGTTTGCAGAAATAGAAAAACAGGACATGGAAATATGAAGTTATGCAATCATAACTACTTCTGGGGAAGCTGCTGTGCATTTCTGCCACATGTTTTTTTTTCTTTTACCAGAATAGAAATAAATGGACATCTGCTGGGAGTTAAAGCACGGGGTGGTGCAGGCGGGCCGGGGGCTCGCGTGCCGTACCCGGCCTCCGGGTTGCCAATGGTCTAATGTCTCAATCTTGTTGGAAGGAAGGTTACAGTGATACAGACTTCATTCTCAGCCAGCTGGGGGAGGGGTTGTTAGTTTTCTCTTTAAAAAAACCCGTAAAGTCTTTGTTTACAATCGGTGAGCCTGCAATGTTGACAAGTCTGC